GTTTATAGAAAATATTTCTTAATTAATTTCTGAGTTTAGGGTAATTAGCAATTTGTAATTTGATCGTTGTTTTTGTAACATGATCGTCTTGATCGAGGCGTCCGCGTCAATACTGGTGGTGAATAAAATCACCTAAAAACACACTTTATTTTCAGAAAATAACTATTCTGACATTTTCATACTATAAATAAATTTTCAAAATAGGCGCTAATGCACTTTAGTACTGTAACACTTCTATCTTCAAAAATAGTATATTTACCTACTGTGCACTACTAACAATATCTTACAATTATTTTTCATCCAGTTCTGCCACTAATAACGCCAGATTTAAGCATTTTATTACTAAAACCACGGCTTTCAATGCCTAAACTATAGTTTCATTCTTCGTCTCCGTGTTCAGCGAAAATATGATGGCGAATTGGTGATCGAGCCAAATTCTGTTGCCAGAATTCAAACTATGTGTGTTGGTGTTGCCAGAATTAGTAAATCAAGATCAAGCGTCAAGCGTCAGATTCTGAACTTATCTGTAGAGCGATGAGAAGTTCTATGTCTCATGAGAGAAGGGAAATGGAAGACAGCACAAACATGCATACATTATTTAATGAAAGAATGTATAAATAAATATATGAAGGTCCTAAATGCAATGTCATGGGTTTAATAATGACCATGATTGAAAATTGATTGATTGATTGATTGATTGATTGATTAAGTGAGTGAGTGGTTGTTTAGGTACGTGGATTGGTGAGTGACTGATTGCTTGATTAATTGATTGATTGATTTAATAATAATAATAATATAATAATAATAATAATAATAATAATTTGATTTGAGTTTATTCAGAAAATCATTGCACAATTACATCGAAACATTGGTAAAGAAAAACTTATAGGCCTAATAAAAATTTAATATCAAACAGAAAGCACAAACAATGATAATGATAATAATAATCTTAATAATAATTATGATGATGATGTTGTTATAATACTTATATACCGCAAAATTCAGGAGCTTCGATGCGCTTAGAATATATATATATATATATATATATATATATATGTATATATGTATATATACAGTATATATATAATTTTAATTAGTTGTTGCTATGGATCTGAGATAAGAGGGTCACGTTCAGCCAAAGTTCATTACCAAGTACGTTCATTGTTCTGAAATGAAGGCGTATTGTAAACCCTATCTCCGATCCATGGCAACGACTAGGACGCTCTCCCAAAAAGTGCACTACCCCAAAAATAGCGGAAAACGATATCTTATTAGTATAAGATCTTTGATTTGGGGCAGTTAAGTTGTGAGGGTTGTCAAAGATCTTATAAATACAAGATAACATTCTCCGCTAATTCTGTAATAGCGTATGAACCTTCTTGCTAAGTTGAAAACTTTTGAACCTTGATCGCTCTAACCATAGCGTACGCCGCGCGATTTTACGTTTACGCGTAAGAATTAGAAGCTTCTGATTTACAATGCGCCCTCTCTTTAGAACATAATGAACAAAGATCTTATAAACACAAGATAGCGTTCTCCGCGATTTACGCGTGCAAATTCTGTAATAAGGCATGAATGGCGCCCTCTTGCTAAATTGGAAACTTTTGACCCTTTACCGCTCGACTTTACCATTAGGGTATCAATCCTGTGAACAGCAGAACAGGAACCATCTCAGATCCATGGCAACAGATAGGACGCCCTCTTCCAAAGCCGATTACTTTTTTCTCTTTGGTATAATAGCGCATGAATGGCGCCCTCTTGCTAAATTGGAAACTTTTGAACCTTGACCGACGGCGATTTTTTTTTCCGTACGAAACATTTACATGAAACTCCACTCGGGCCGTCTCGGCTGAATCGACCCGAAAATCTCATTGCAGAATTCAGGAGGTCAAAAGGTCATCAACGGATAAACGTCTACAG